CCGCCCCCCAAGGGCAGGCGGCGACCGTTGCTCGGCGCCGCCTCACTCAAGCGTATCCCTCCGCCAACGAGTCCCGGCACACCACCGCTGCATTGACACCGCCCCCTTCATCCGGGGTCTGAGGCGGCTGCCGCATGGCGCCCTTTAAGCAGCGCGCGGCACCGCCCCCTCGTCCGCCACGCGGCCCGATGAGCGTGTCCCCATTGGTCCAGCCTCCCCTGCATTGCGTCGAGGGGGCTGCTTAAAGGGGAAGCCGTCGCTGGTAGGCCGATTGGGAAAAAAAAGGGGCGGAGCGAGAGGCTGGCGACAAGGAAGGAGTCCGACCCGGAAGGGAATACTTGTCGGCTGTATTTTAAGGGAAGAGGGAGATTTAAAGGGGAAGCCGCCCAAAAGGAACAGGATGGTTGTTAAAGGGGAGGCGTATCGGGCACGAACTTTAGACTCTTAAGGAAAGCTTTGCTCATTTTAAATGCTTAGCAGTAATTAAGCTAAGGATTTAAAACAGCCATTGAAACCTAAATTGGTTTATGCAAGCAAAACCTGAGAATGAATTAATCAAGAAATTCATACATTTCTCAACTTTAAGGTGGGTGGACTTCAACTCCCAGAATTCCCCAGCCAGCATTGCTGGCTGGGGAACTCTGGGAGTTGAAGTCCACCCATCATAATTCTGGGAGTTGAAGTCCACCCATCATAATTCTGGGAGTTGAAGTCTACCCATCATACAGTGATGAAACATTGTATTAGAGCAACCCAACGTATTTCAGGGCATGGGGTGGGTGGGATATGTTGGACTACAACTCCCATCCATTCCAGATGCAGAGCCTTCTGGGAAGGCCCTGCTCTAAAACCTCTCGTCCAAAGCAGTTTAATTTTAGGATCCGCCCAGCTGAACACACATACAGGAGATTTATCCTTTGCAAAACAATACATGCAATCCTTTCATGGGGAGGGACGCGGCATGCTTCGATTCAGTCCCCTTCTCTGCCCTTTCCAAGATTCCCCCTTCCAGTGTCCACTCCTACCCTTCTTTCACAGCGACAATGTGGGAAAATGCTCAAATATTCATAGACATTTAAAATACTAATTTGAAAGGAAAGTGCCTTGAGCAACGGAAGCTTCTGTTCCATGAAGAATAGATACAGTTCTGTAATTGTCAGAAATCTCTTTTATACTTCACTTTATACTCTATCTATCTATCTATCTATCTATCTATCTATCTATCTCTCCTGTTTATAATTACCAGCTGTATTCACACACATGGTAAATAATAAATGGGGATGGTAAAACACATTGGGCCCTGACTGTTGTGTGAACGCAGCTTGACACCCCCCGCCC